ACAAATTACAGGCTCTTTTAAAAACACAAGCGCGTCCTACCACATCACATTTCCTACTGACTGATTAGGTTTCTTTCATCAATAATTTGTACATTAATGGTTCTAAGCAACTGTTGATTCATACTGTGATATACCATAACAAATCCAAAGTGTTTCACTTCTCTTGTATGAAAAGTTATAGACACCATAGAATTACAGAATGATAGAATTATAGTATGGCTTGGGTAGGAAGGGACCTCAAAGATCATCTAGTTTCACCCTCCTCCTTGAAATAATTGCATCACATTGTGTGTCAGAGAATTCAAACAGTCCTGACTGCACAAAATGTTACAGACCAAAATAAATAAGTTTTTTACTATGAAGCATTTTTCAGTATCTTATTCATGACAAAACACATGGAAATATGTCTGAAAATGTATGAGCACCCCTTGTTCATTCAGTTGTGCAGATCTCAGTCTGCATGGAAGGACGTGAGGATGTTCAGGTCTTCATCAAACACAAAGAGTTCACTACAATTTCAGCAGCAGTGAAAGGTACAGTAGACACCACAACCCTAAAGACTTCAATTTGTGGATCCCAACTATTGATTTGCAGTATCATTCTAAAATTGTCATTTATTTGCCCAAGTGGGAAATAAGGAATATTTATGTTTTCAGGAGAAACTTGAAGAACTATATATTTTACAGTGTGTATAGCCTCCACATGTGTATAGTGAGATACATCATCTAGAGGTCTGGAACTCAAAAAACATTATGATTAGCTGAGAGCTAAATGTTTTCTGCTTTTAATATTGATGTTACCTAATATATATACATACAGGGACTGTTTTTTTGGTTAAATATAGTTCTTGTAACTGCCCTACAGATGGCTGTTAAAAGAAATGAAGATCTGGCAGATCTGTGGAGAAGAGCCAGGGTGGAAACTGATCCAGTCAAAAGTTGATCTTCATCACTTGCTATGATGTCATCCCTATTTGAAAAGAGGAATGCTGATTCAATAACTTAAATACAAAATAGAAGAAAACCATAAATAAGAATTCTCAGTTATCGTTTCATATGGATACATCCTTTACAAAGCCTTCTGACCTATATAAATCTAAGAATGAAAGCAACGAAAGCCTCAAAACTGTGGGAAAGTATCTGCTCCTTAAAAAAAATATCATTTGTTCCTAACAATTCACAAATATCTCATGATAGAACTTCAAGTAGACAAAGATGGCTTCTGCCCCAACCAGATCAACTCAGCATCGCTGTCCCAAAGGGCATTCATGACCCCAGCAGATCGTGGAAAACTGCGATCCAGATGTGAGTTTGTACAATGAGTGCTTCACTTGAAGTTCCACTACTGTGTTTGTCCTCAAACCCACACATTGATTCTGATTTTTATGCAATTTCACACTGGATTTTTCTTTATTTTTCTCAGAATTTCTGGTAATGTTTTCTGATATCTATTGGATTTTCTATTAAGACCAGCACCAATGTAATTGATTTGTTAACAGAGAAGAGGCAAAGCGTGATGATCCTCCCATGAGCTGATTATGTTACAATTGCCATTTCCCATGCCAGAACACTATTTTCTCCAGCGCTGAATTCTTTTATGGCATAAAAGATTTTCTGCTTCTCAGGGGCAAAAAAAATTTCCCTGGATAGTACAGCAATGAGTGGGGCCCAAGATAGATATTCCTGACACTAAATTTTTTATTCATTTATTTTTTAGAAATAGACAGTTCCTGAGCTTTTATTCTAAGCAATTTATTTACGATCTTTACTTTGATGGGACAGATGAACTAGTGAACATTCTCATCACATGATATAAAAGTGTGTTTAACATTAGTATTGAGGGAAATGCAGATGCACTGATCAATGAGTTCTGCTCTTTTCCAAGCTACTCCATACAATTCATATCTTCTTTCTTTTCAAAATAGTTCTTATTTCACATCATATCTATGAGGATATTACTACCTCATGTACTTAACATAGGAATAGATTCTGAGGACTCAATCTGGAAAATTCATTGCTAAATCCAACATTTTCCAGAGGTCATATCTGTGCCTTCTAACTATGGGGAGACCAGAATCAGGCCCAACCCAATTTTAACCTACAGTCAGCCCATTACATACATAGAGAGGCAAAGAGGGACTCCCAGCTTTTCAAGAACAGTTGAACTTCTGTTGTATGTAAGGTGCATAGAAACATTTTTACTGCATCTCTCTCATAACTAATGTCTCTTTGTCCATCATACTTTCAGAGAATTAGTTGTGCCTTTTCTAAGTACTCTATAAATGATCAGGTATTGGATGAATCATACTAAGTAGGCTAGTTTTCCTACCTGAAAATGGATTCAACGGGAAAAGTGAGCCTGTATAATGTGCTTCTATATATCTGTAGTGTGCACACTATAAATAACATAAATAAACAAATAAATATACATAAATATACAAATATTATCCATAGCCTCACAAAAATAGGAAAATCAGAAGAATCTCCAAAGTGATGTTGTGATAAATTCTTACCTCTCCTAAATTTGATTAATTGCAGCAAGATTCAAAAGATTCTGTTCTGGCAAGTAAGGCTATGACTCTCCATTCTCTGCCTAATTCCAGTACTGCTGTAAGCCTTACCCTGGATAAATGAAGTCCTTCTTCCATTTATCAACATGTAAATAGTGCAGTAGGTTCAGTACTTTCCTAAAGAAGGAAGCGAAAGTTAACTAAAGAAAAAAAAAAAAATAACAGTAAATCCAGGAGCAGGGGAGAAGCAAGAGAGTTTTCTCTACTTTAAATCAACTGCTGGCAAGAGCCAAGGGCAATTCTGAATTAAGTTTTCCATCTGTGGGCTGTAGGGCACCTTCCCTCACCTTGTGAGGGTGAGTACCAGCCTGGGCAGAAATGGGGATTTCTGCAAAGAGATGGAAGAGAAAGAGAGATGCAGTGATTTTTCAGTCATTATATTGCACTGTTCCACAAGTAATGCATTTATATATGAATTCAATGGCTGTTCAGATTTCTTTTCCTGCTGAGAATGATTATGTTTTTTACTGTCCTTATTTTAGAAGGCTTGTATTTTTATCTTCTATTTAGTTGAGCATTTGAGGGCAAGCTCTTATCATGTATGTGCACTGCCTAATGTTTGATTGATTTAATTTTCTGCGTTTCGGTTTTATAAGTATATTCTGTGAATTGATAAGCTAGTACTAGCTTCCTGCTGCAAGGTAGCTAGCAACAATTTCTTGATTTAGTAAGGAAAAATTTATAATTGCAAACACGCACGTTTTTAAGTCTAAAAGTCAGTAGTGTTCAGTGGGAACTGATGCTCAGCTGGCAATCCTGATACATTGCGAACCTGGCATTCTTGGGAGAAAGCCAGCCTGACACTGGACTTGTTAAATTCAGTAGCAATGGTAAGGGTTAATGGGCAATGATCGCAGCACTATCAAGTCTATCTTGAAAGGGATGAATGTTTAGGGGATGCTTATTTACTTTCTCATCAGGTGTTTCAAGCATGTGCTAATGCCCCTATTAACTCCTCATCTTAACTGGACAGCAGAGTGTGAATCCGGCTTAGGCACTGGAAGTACCCATGCAGATCTCCTTCTGTTATTTTTATTATAAAATAAACTCGTTCCACGTTTTGGGACTGCGTTTTCTTTCAGTCGCCTGAGAAATTCTGCAAACGGAGGCAAATAAGTAGAAGAGAGGGCAAAAAAATGGGAACGAAAATGATTTGGTAAATACGGTGAAAATAAATTAATCGCCGAAACGATATTTTTTACATTATTGTCTTTCTCCATGAAAGACAATTTTTTTTCTGGGAAAAAAAAAAATAATTTCTTTGACCAAATTTTAGTTCCATTTAAAGAACTAAAGAGACCTTTGTGCGTAGGTGCTGCATCTGATGAAACTCCCATTGCTACGGATTTTCTCCCTATCGGAATAGATTAAATTCGGGGCAGTAAACAAGTAAGCATGTGTCGGCATTGAAAACAGTAGAAATAACAATCAGAGGGTGGCTCCGATATGGGCCATCAACTATTAAAAATAAATACATAAATAAATAAAGGGAGAAAAATACGCACGCATGAGCCATATCTCATGTCCTTTGGAAATAATTGAAATACGTCTCCAAATGCTTTTTGCTACGCAAACTCAGTGGATCTTAGTGGCTTTAACCAACTTTAAACACTCAGAGCAGAAAAGAGGGGATCGGAACCCAAGAGCTGAGCTTTGCACAAACCCGAGCTGCGCTGCGCATCTGGCAGCTCCCGTGCCCGTTTGCACCTCGCGTATCCACTTTTGTTTTCCGTGCAATGGCCTCGATCGTTCTTTTAGGGGTTTATCCATGTTTGTTTGGTTTGTATTTTTTCCTAGAGCAGGAGCACCCTGAGATACTTGACCCCGAATACACCGATACACCTTCTTATACTTGACCTCCAATTCAAGACTAACCGAAAAGGAGGACAGGGCAACCAAGGCGAGCAGATGATTGCAACCAGGAGGAAATTTTACCCCGGGTTTGCGAAGGAGCTGCTCGGAAGCTCTCGGCACAAGGGCTGCATTAGCACCGCGCTGCCCTGCATGGCACCCGGCCACAGCCCCGCCCTGGAAAGGAATCTCCAGGGCTGTCCTGAGCCGGGGGATTCCGCTGCACGGAGGTTCGTTGCGCACCCGCGCTAATTGACCATTGAAATGAGCATGGAAGGAAAGTAGGGAAAGGAAGTAAAACCAATCCTTATCAAGTCCAAATACCTCTTCCGTTCTCTCTTTTTTTCTCTCTCTCTCTCTTTTTATATTTTTTATATTTTTTTCCCTCTGGGAAACTCAACAGGTTACCCATTTTAGCACGCGCTTTTGATTTTCGCTGTACCACAATTGCACGTTCAACCTTCATTTTTAAAACAAAAACCCGTCGATGCAGTCTAGGAAACGTCTTTCTTTGGACACTGCCCAGGAGTGGCTGTACGGAACAGGCATTCAGCTCGGGTTTCTGATAGAAAAGCTTTATTTCCCAATTCGTCATATAAAGCGTTTGAACTCGTAAACCAAAAAAAAGACAAACGTGGTTGGAAATTTTGGGGGGAGGTTAAAAAAGAAAAAAAAGAAAAGAAAAAGAAATAAAGCACTTCGTTACCATAGGGCAGCAGATAAAATAATCCCCTGAGCTATCGGGGCCGGGGTTAGCGTAAGGAGCATGAGTAACTTGTGTGCAAAACATCAGACGGGCCCTGATTTGGGAACCGGTTAGCACAAAGTGTGACAAAGGACTTGTTTGGTTCGAAAATTCAAAATTCAGAAAGAGTAGCTACAGAGATTTAGAGAGGTGTCTGTATTTTGATAGTGTCAGAGATGGGGAAATGTTATTTGGGGGGATACTAAAGGCGGAGAATGTGAGATAGAGGAGAGCACGGAGTGGATGGGGCTGTAACCAACGCTCTCGGGTGGAGGCACGGTGCTGGGGCAGCCACGATGACACCATTCCCGTGGGCTGAAGCAGAACATCGTCTTTCCTAAACCGTGGGCACGGAGGGGCTGCGGAGGGAAGGGAGACGCAACTCATCCCGGTTTCTTTGGCAGCTCCGTTCTTCTCCGTCTCGAGCAGAGGGCAACGCTCGTTGAAGCTCTGACACCGCGGCACACGGCCGAGTGTGAGGGACCCCGGGCCCGGGAGCGACTGCCGCGGGTCGGGGCGAAAGCGGACGGTGACACGGCGGGGCCACAGGGAACATCGGCCCCCGGCAATAGACAGGGCGGGGGCCGGAGGGAGAGGCTATACGTCTCCCTCCAGCAGGCTGAAGTGCTTAACCGGGCCGGGAAGGCAGAGGTAGGGGATGGCGCTGCCCGGGTAGAACAGAGGGAAGGGGAGCGGCAGCAGGCAGCGGCTGAGCAGGGCGCTGTCCTTGTATAGGGCCGGGAAGGAGAAAGAGGCGGTGGGAGGCGGCGGGGGCTCCCCTGGGGGCTCCGCTTGGCCCGGACCTTCGGGCTCGGCCGACAGCTGTCTCTTGAGCTTGTTGCGACGGTTCTGGAACCAGATCTTCACCTGCGTCTCGGTGAGGTGCAGCGCGGCGGCCAGGCCGGCTCGTTCGGCGCTGCTCAGGTAGCGCTTCACGTCGAAGGTGGACTCCAGCTGAAAGACCTGGCTCTTAGAGAAGATGGTCCGCGTCTTCTTCTTGCCTCCCGCCGCTGAACACCTGCTGCTCTCCCTGCTGCAGCCCCCAGAATCCCGCGGCGACGGCTGCCGGCATCCGCGGAACCTTTCCGTGGAGAGAGGTGAAACCGCGCCTTCGGCCTCGGCATCCGCACGACGCGGCCCTTGCGCCAGCAGCCGCTCGCTGCCTGCAATGGCAAAACACAGCGTCAGCCCCCCACCCCGCCGCCGCCGCCCCGCATGCACGCACCCGCGGCCGGGGAGAGGGGCCGAGGCCGGGGACTGCCCACCGCCCTCCACCTCCAGCCTCCGTGGGAAGAACTCGTGGGGAGGAGGGAGAGGAGCTCGCAGTAAGCATCTAAAGGAAATCTCTCTGCCGCTGTGAGTCGGAGTGGGAGGGGGCTCCGGGACACGAGAAAAACGACCAAGGAGGCCGGGAGGGGCCTCTGACAGCAGGTGGTTTCGAGAGGGGTTCACGTCCTCCCACAGAGCCTCACTTCCACTAACTGCTGTGGGGAATGAAGCCCGCGGGTGTGGGTGTGCGTGTGCCCTCCCCACCCGAGCCTCCTGGGCGCGGTCCCGTTTGGAGGCCCGCGGCTAAACCTCCGTCCTGGGTGGGTGCCTGGCTGCGACCGGATTTGCGGGTCTGCCTGCTTAGTACCCGAGTCGCTGGAGCTTTTACCGGGGTGGTCCTCCGCAGGCCCCTCTTCTTCCTCCTCCTCCTCTTCGTCCTCCGGCAGCGCGCAGCGGGACCTACCCTGCTCCCGGCCCTGGCAGCGAGGACCGGGCTGCAGGATGCTGTCGATGCTGAAGGCCGACGATGGGGCCAGGAGAGGCTGTGGGGCTCCGCAGCCGCCCCCGAGCTGCACCATGGCGCGCCGAGCCCAGCCGCAGGAGTGGCTGCTGAGGGAAAGCGGCAACCGGGGCGGAGGGAGGGCTGGGGACAGGGGGAGGAGAAGGAGGGGTCGGGGAGGAGGAGGGAGGAGAGAGGAGATGGAGCTAGAAGGAGCCAAAGGGCTGAGGGCTTAGGGAGCGGTGCGGGAGGAGAGGGAAAGGAAAGGCCGTGAGGAATCGCTGAAAGGAGGGAGCAAGAGGGAAGAGGAGAGAAGGATTTGGGATTTCATTTTTTTTATTTTTTTATTTTTTCCTGAGAATGAGGTTCCTTAGGCAGGGGGGAGTGGGGCAAGGCAGGGCTGAGTGCCCTGCTCAGCACCTTCACTTGGGGAGACTGGGACCTACGGAGCCCAGGGAAAGGCGATGAGGAGGAGGGTGGAAATGTGGGCGTGATGGTTGAGGGAGAAAGAGATGAGGTGAGAAGGGTTGGATGTGAGAAAGGGCGAACGGAAGGAGGGATGTGGGAGAAGAGGGTTTGGAATCTGGAAGAGTAAAGAGGTGGAGGGGAAATTTTGCACAGAGGGTAAAAGCGACAAAGGAGTGAATGACAGGGTTGTCATCAAGAGGGAGGAGGCAGTGAACAGGCACTGAACGAAGGAAGAGAGACAAAAGTAGAGAAAAGGAAGGCGAGATATGGGAACGATGAGTTGGACTCGGTGGTCCTTGTGGCTTCCTTTAAACTCGGGCTACTCCGTTATTCTAAGAAATGCAGAAATGGGTAAGCAGAGTAGCAAGGAGAGCAATCAGCCCATCTCTGCAGAGTTCCGAGCAGAAAGGACCCTTTCGCTGCCGGCTGAGCCCTGTGATGCCGGGGCACCTCGATCCCTCCCACGGGTGCACACCTTTCGGGGGATGAAAGAATTGCGCTATTAACGCAAGTCCTCCAGGTGCTCTTTAAGACTCAGAGCTCTGTGGTATCCGCAGAACTGCTCCCCACCACCTACCAACATCGCCTTAAAAACCTATTACATTGTACCAGGCTGGGTGTTCTGCTGAGTTAGAGGTGTCACCAGCTCTTCCCATCCTGCACTTCTGTACAAGGCCAGGGGAATGTTGTCACTGGCTTTTAAAAGGACTTCTAGTCCCAATCGCAATATTTCCATCACGAAAACTGCTGAGGGCGAGCGAGTAGCTCTTGAAAAAGAGTTGACAAGAGAAATGCTGACAGACTCTTAAATATTGTTACGCCGGAGATTCCGTGAGCTGAAATCGGGGCTTCTTAAGGTTTCGGACCGCGTTAATCTTTAAAGCTGTGGTTCTGGGGAGAGCGGTTTGCAGCTCTTTTTCATGGAAATTTGTTACACTTTTGAAGTGCACTCAGATTTAATGCAGACGCCTGACGGGAAGCTGGATTTATCCCACCAGGCGACAAAAATAAAAACCTCCTCTTCCATTAACACGGTCATTGGCCAAATGCCTGAAGTCGTTGCGTTTGTCTCGCAATGCCTTGCGCAAGGCTGACGGGGCCGGTGGGGTGGAAATGTCCCGTTAAAGGAGCGGTAGTGCGAGGGGAGGGCCGGGAAGCAGCGGGGAGAAATGTGAAGAAGCTGAAAAGATGAATTTTCAGCATGGGGAGAGCAGCCCGGGAAACAGTGAGCCGGGGGGCGGTAGAGAGAGGGAAGTGGCTTTGAGGCACCATCTCAATTAACTTCCCGGCCCCAAAAGGCCTCGGGAGAGGTGCACACGGCTTGAATACAACGATTTTCCTACAGTAGTTAAAGATTTTCCGACACTGGGATATTCTCATCCCGCGTTTTCTTCGCGCTGTCTCCGAGTCCGAGGGGCAGATCTTTTGCTTTTAATAATATATTCCTCTATTAGAAGCTCGAGTCGAGCGGAATGGAATCCTTTTTACCTGAGAAAGCTTTTTACAGGAGATCGGTCGGCATGTGTATCCGCATTGCCATTTTAGCTCAGAGAAGGAAAAAAAAAAAATAGGCTACTCTCAAGCTAAATCTCATTGAATTGAAATCTGATTAGGTTTTACAGAAAAGTGAGAGTCTGCCTTTACTTGGCTTATGGGATCGGGATCGCCTTATCCCTGATGCAGCTGGCAGTAAATAGGCCCTCTCTGGAGCCCACAGGCCCTCTGCAGAAGCCTTTAAGTTGTCCCTTCTTCTCTTCTGGGACACAGCCCAGGGGAGCGGGTCTCAGAGAGAAGTGCTGTCCAAAAAAAAAGTGTATTAAAAAAAATAATAATTAAAAACTCAGCAGCTAGAAGTGTCACACGGAACGGGACTTTTCAGGGGAAGCTTGTCTGAGCCGACCCTTCACCTCCAGGCACTGGATGAAGCCAGGGTCGGGCCTTCTGTGACCCTGGGACAGAACATCCCTCTTGGAAAGCTTTTGTCAGCCTTTAAGGTGAATTCGAAGGTGAATTTAAGGTGAATTCGAAATTGCCTCCATGCAATGTCTGCACACGATATAAGAGATGTGCAGAGAAATCCTGCAGGGGATTTCAGAATAATGCAATACCTTGCTGCTCAATGGGCTGGGATTGCTAAGGAGAGAAGGGAGAGCAAATACAATCCATGG